GTGACACTGTGCTATGGGAACGCGTAGCTATCCCTGAAGACCCTCATCATCATTACTCACTTTGTTCTTGTTGTCTTTCTTGTTATCTCTCAACACAGCAGTATACTTGCTGTTCCTAGCTCCGTAGGTAGACCGAACAGAGGGGGGCCGCTCCTTGCTGAGAGGTGGGATGCTATGGCTATATCCCCTGTTAAGCAATAATCCAAAGGAGTTGCAGTTCCCGCCAGATCTAAAATATCTTGCCTATTATAGTACTACCGTTAAGATCCTTGTACTCAAATCCCATAACACCCCCCTGCTGGCATCTATTTGACGGAACCCCCCGCCCCCTCCCCCGGTATCACACACACGCGCACCTCGAAGAGCCGCTGGTGATCGAACGACTTCCCGTCCTCAGAGACGAACTTGGGCAGTACCACGCTGCCGAGGTTGCAGACCGCCACCTCGCCGGGGTCCGTGTACTCCACGATCTCCGTGCACAGGTTGGAGGACTGGATGGTCCCCAGGTGCTTGTGGTTGCTCTTGCGGTTGCAGGCATCCTGCGAGCAAGAAGAGGCCGCGAGCGAGCCGGGAAGGGCGGACGGGCGGGACGGGGAAGGGTTGCTAAAGAGGGAGGAACGATTGGAGGGGAGGAACGATTGGAGGGAAGGGAGGTGGTGGTATTCGCGTCTCTTTGTGCAGCAGCTCATTGTTCTGCCGCCAGCGTGGATTGAATGTTCATGGTTCCTGACAAGAAATGCGTACCACAGATGGCGTCAAGACACGACATGGGGTGCGTGTTGAAAAACCGTTTGGGGTTTCGGCCAAAACCATGATGCGCAATACATCGGTGCATTGCGGTACATATCACCATAGAGCAAAACAGCACTATTATAGTAGCGGTCCACATGTCGATTATTATTTTTTTTTTTTCGGCAAAGACAGATGGCGCGGGTACTCGCCAGCTCAGATGACCCCGCCAACTGTACCCCCCTACCCCTGCCCGAGCAAACATCCACCCACCCACCTTGTACATCATGTAGGGGTTTCCGGTCTCCGTCTGGGCGTCCAAAATGGCGAACCACAAGTCCTGCGCCCGCACTTTTCGCATGTACTTTCCCTCCTACGGCCGGCAAGCGAAAGGGGGGAGGGCGCGGGGGGGGTCGAACACAGCATCACCGTGGTGTTAAGTATGTAGAATGGCCTTCGCGATGACTCGAGTTGATGAGGAAATAGAACAGGGAGGGGGCACGCAGACTCTATTCCCTAACACTAACCCAACTCTCCCGATTGCATGTTTTATCCAACATGTTTACTTAATCGAAAAACCCTGCTAAATAGGGCTACCGAATGATGCTTGCACGGGGTGTGTGTGTGTGTGGGAAGCGACACAGCCGTCAAGGATGGAGGAGGAAGCAAGACACGTGAGAGAGACTAGGAGAGGGGGGCGTACTCGGTGCTTTGCATGCCTTAGATGTTAGACCGATTCGGGGGGAACGGCAGGCGTTACAAGGCCAGGTGAAGCGAGATGAATCAACGGAGCACGGCTTGGGCTAGGTGGCCTCTTGCCGGATTGTCGAACACCGACACATCCTAGATATACTACCGGCTGGATGTTCTTAGCGTATCCGGGAAATCAAACCCGCATCACTTGGGTGAAAAAAATTGCGCAGTGATTGCTGTGCAACCTTGCTCTCGTCCTCGTCGTGAAGAAGACAAGAGAGGTGGTACAAAAGCCACCTCGACCTTGAAACCCTTCTCTCACGTCGCCTGCTAAAAGCAAGGCGCCTCCACATCTTTTCTCTATCTTTTCACCACTTTTGCACAACATCACAAAGGGGTTCTAAACGAGTACGTTCTAGCGGCATGTTTCATTGTAATATTCCGGGCGATTTTTTCGTCTACTTATGGTACGTATGTAAATTGACCACTGTGACGCACTCACCCTTTCGTTTTTTAGTGTTGAACTCCTCAAACCCTTTCTCCCAGCACTCCGATAGCCCCGTGCACCATAACGCACTCACCCTTTCGTACTTGGTGTAGAGCTCCTCGAACTCCTTCCCCCAGCACTCCGATAGCCCCGGACACTGGGACGGGCACATGAGGCTCCACTCCCCGTCTTGCTCCACCCTTTCCATGAACAAGTCTGGTATCCAGAGGCCGTAGAACAGATCCCTTTTGAGGGGTTGGGTGCAGAGAGGAAGTGGGAACATTGGTTGGTGAGAACAGGGACACGACACGGGATCTATTTTGAGGCGTGGGCTGCAGAGGAAAGTGGGGAGATTGGCACGGACGCTAATAGAGCCAACACAAACACTACTTGACACCACCACCGCCAACACAAAACCAGCACCAGCACCAACACTGTGCCACTGTAACACCCACACCAGCAACACCAGCATCACCAACCAACAACAACACCAACCACAGCAACAGCAACAGCGCCAGCATCACCAACCAACACACCAACAGCAACACCGTCAACAACAATAACAACAACAACAACAACAACAACAACAACAACAACAACAACAACA